ATAAACGCCGTAAGATTGCGTACAGCGCTACGCCGCTTAATGACATAGAATTATGTCTTTGTTGTTATAATCTGTAGCTTACGTGAGGGCTATATACTTAAATAAACAAAATAAGTAAAGAAATAAAAGTCATTAACTGTTTATTAACACGACCTTATAACAAAAAATAATAATAAAAACAATTTACAATTAAAAGAATGGAAAAAAATAGACATACGTCCGAAATCCAAATGTTTAAACGTGGTACTGGTATGCTAGATTCCATTAAGCGTGAGCTCGTGGGTTCGGATCCCAGGGAAAACATTGTTTAGGCCAGGCAGGGCACAGAAGTCTCATCAAATACTTGCCTGTACAAGAGCCGATCAGTGTTTACGGGGGAATGGGAATTCCTTTTTACATCACGGGGTCAGTAAAATAGTGTATTTTGCGTTTTAAACCGTTAAAAAAGTTTAATTCAAATATATTAATAAAAGAGAATCTAATTATTGTTCGTAAATATCGAGTTTGAGATGTTGTCTTACGTATAAAACTGTTTTATAGCATCTATAATAAAGTACCTCCGTAACGCGTAACGCTATACACCTTCGTTTCTAGGAGACCCCAGCCTAACCGCGTGTAAGTTCACGTCATTAAACTTTCTTGTCCTCACCTCCGCCCCGTGACGTTTGTTAATTATCGAGATTTTACAACACGCTCGCCGATTGAATTTGCATGTTCTGAATGCTTGTTTCATTAAGCTTTACTCATAGTTTCAATACAGTGGATGCAATTAATTTTAATTGCTTCTAATAGCTCGCGATTTGTTTCCAAGGATCGCGTACCGTCAATGTCAAAGAATGCAGCTTCACTGCAGAATTCCTCTGTTTAAGACATTTTTTGACTTATATTATCACTGTATTGAAAATAAATGTATATAACACATATGTACGGGCAACGTCCACAGATATCGTCTTTCTGATAGGAAGACTTGACTTGATATAAAAGTCATAATCACATATAACATAGTATGTAAAGAAATAAAAGGCTGTCTTCTTTCTCTTACTTTTCCTATTTCACTTATAAATGCGTTGAATATTTAGACGTCTCAAGTTACCGTTTTGATAGAGCATGGTAAACAATATTTATTTGTTCAAACAGAATCTGTCCTTATGTTTAATAAATATTTTTTAGCTACGAAAATGTTGATACAAATTTATTTTTATTGGCTGTAGTTTTACTTAATACTTATCAAATGCGTTAAAGAGAGATCGCATGTCAGGATCGCCGGATACAAATGAATACGATGATCATCATCGTGTTCAAATAGGTGCCACTATAACGACATCTGATCTCAAATACAGCATTATCTGCATCTTGCATATCTGTAACATGCATACATTATCGTATAACTGTAAATTTTTTAAATTTAAAGTGTAAATTTATTATATGAAATTAAATTATGTGTAAAAAAATACAAATAATGCTGCAAAAGTAAGTAAACGTTTACATAATTTTTAAATTTACATGAATTATCCTGTAAAAATTAATAGAACATATAAACAGACGAAATTGTATTTTATATTAAATAAAACAAAATATAAAGTTAATTAAGTCTCAATATCAAAATCTGTCAGCGCTTAAAAAAAAATACATTTTATATACACAACAAAATCACTACCTTAACTTTACTTATCGGCTAAAATTATAGGAAAATCATTTAATTAATTTCTGAATTATAAGATCACTATATAACTTTTAAATAGTACCGTCTATAGAAAATTTTATTTAAAAGACAAAAACAGATCAAACAAACTGTACCAATTCCAATACTGGAGCGGAAAGAGCGAAATCATACAAAATGCATTACACGAACAATGAAAAACATGCGACATCAATATCGGCTGTTTACTTAATATAAAATTTATCGTAATCGACCTGTTCGAAAGCATCGTACGAGCACAAGCGACATACTGGTATCCTAGCGATATCCACTAATGTGCTTTCTCGTGCAATCTTTTCTTGCGATGACACGCTAAAAATATCGCCGCTCTAACGAATATCGATCGTAGCGCGGAGGGATTAGGGTGCGTTTTGGGCTGCTCATTACATCGACTTAGGATAATTTGAAGTATAAAAGCGGTGATGTCAATCTTTATCGCAAGGGAAGTAGGGGGTCGACCGGCGAGGAGGGCGCGCCACTGCGTCGATTGTAATCACGCAAATGGTTCCATATCAAAACGTCACATTCGTATATCGATGTTTCGCTGTCAATTTTGCGTGGCCAGGTTTTATACGCATCGGTGGAGTGTATAGCTACATAATTAACTAGTTTCAAGTATCGTCTGTAGTTTACACGAATGCTACACTTTTAACTGTTTAAAACGCGGATGCGATGCTGTTATTGCTTTGAGCTTTGAGTTACACATTAGGGTCATCCTCCATCAGGCCCTCCATGACCAGGGCTAATGCTTAATGCATAGCGTCCGAAAACGTCGGGCTGTAGTTAAAATAAGTTAACTAATAAATTTTGCGTTTTGAACCGTTAAAAGTGTTTGTATTTACACTAATCTTAATTTAAATATAAAATTGTCGTTATGCATTTTGCAATAAAATATGTCTTAAACTCACAGGTATTGACATTATCTACCTTGATAATGTCATTATCCTGTGAGTTTCCTTACCTTTAAGGGTCTTCTAAATATGTGTTAAAACTATTGTGTATCCATTTTATAACTTATGTCTAAAGTTCTTACGGCATAAAGAATTATGTCAAAAATGTAAGAAGACGTAAATTAGAGAATAATGATACTCTGAAAAAAGAAATGTTAAAGTTGTGTGCAAAAAATGCAATCTCCTTAGAAAATTTTTAGACGACAAAAAACGGCACAAAAAAGTTTCCTCGAGAAATTCTTTCGAATATTATCCTCCACTCATTAGGGAGCGGAGGAAGAAGCCACTCGAAGTATCTTGTAATAATTTCAAAGTAATTGAAGCTCCATAAGGTTACGTCCGAGTTGATACCAGAATGGGCCAGTCTTTAGCGGTTCCCTTTTATTTTTCTATCAGCACAGGCTGCTAGCCGCTGACTGCGATCGCCTCCATTAAAATAACTCGTTAAAATTTATCATCGACCCGCTTAATCGCTTTAACGCCACCATCTGGGGTTTTATGATTTTTCTGCTTATTCTGTATACTTTAGCGGCCATTTCACTGGGCTTACAAATGGATACGTTACTCTCAAATACAGAAATATATATACTTGTGACACTTTCATACATAAAGTACTTTGCAACTTGTGTTGGCGAAAATCATATCATTGTGTAAGAATTGCCCCCGCAAACATTCTCGTTGAGTTAACTGTAGCTTCGGATTCACCCTCTCTAATTATAATTACATTTTCACAAAATAAAATACTCTTTCACTCGGAATCCAATTTAATCAAATCATACCGGATTTTCTCTGCTGCGTTATTCCGCTGAGCGCTCAAAAGATAATTAAATAATTAAGAATGTATGAATGATGCCGTAAAGCTGTCTCTCTGATATTGTAATAATGCAGTCCTCTTGGGCGAAATCTTTTAAATTATTCTCGAGTACTTCGTAATTATCTTGCATGCCTACCGTACAACTATTGTGAACATAAAAAAGTCCTATAGAAAATTCGTTAGAACTTCACTTGACTAAGTTCTCAAATTAAAACTGTCTAGCCATAAAGGGTAACGCACTCAAATGTGTACAATATGACTTTGAAGTAGATAGTAATTATATTCAGCGAGTAATTATAATATACTAATTACAGTTCCTTAGATCTTTTTATGGGGGAAATGTAATGATGGTTCTTCGATCGTATTAAACATTAAAATCTAATAGCGACTAATAGTTTATTTCCGTTCTACTAAAGACATAAATTAAAAATAATTAATAATCTTATAGAATTATACAGAAAAATAACATTAAATAAAACACTTTACGAACACAATGGCCTTAAGTTGTCAAATACTTAATTCAATCATTTTTTTACATACAAGTTAACATTATTCGCATTTCAAATCGTTTTATTCAAAAAATAAAATTAAAATAACAATAATAATTTATATTATAATGCTTTATTATTGCACCCATGTTATTGGAAGAATCCATTTGGAATGGGAAAGCTATCAAACTAATAAGAAGAAGTGTTTTATTTAATGTGTAACACTCTCTGTAGCCTAACTTTATTTAAACTCGTTGAAATAAGTAGTACAAAAAGTGTTACGGAAATCAAAACACACAACACTAAAATCCTCTAATTACTAGCCACCCGAGAAAGTGATCAAGTAAAATGCTACATTTCGCTTCGTAAATCTCAAAGGTTTATATTTTGCGTTTATAACGGGCAGCAAACGCGTCGAGGTAGGAGAAAAAAGGCTCAAAGCGACCGCTGGTTGCCGGGAGAAAATCTCAGAGCTTAAACAGTGGGACGTATGAAATAGTGGCGCTCGGTTACATGAAAAAGACGAGAGGAGGAATCGAGTGACAGGACCGGCGCAGGATTTTCAGTCCGTTGCTTTTTTGCGGGATTTTAGGAACTCTGTAGCCGCAGTGGCGATTGGAATTTATTACGCGCGTCCACTCGGACGCACCACGCCATCATGTTGCTTATGAAGACGCGAGTAATCACTGTATTGTGGACTGTTCAGCTAGGTTATGGAGAGGGGTCCTTTTTACAAAAGTGGGAAGACTTAACATTGATCGTAAACAGTTATTGAATTGTTTAATAATTTCATAAAAAGTCGATTTCGTAAAATAAAAAATACAATTATTTGAAAATGTGTCAAGTAGAAGCAGAGATGACATAAACAAAAAAAAAAAAAAATTTTCTAAGTTCTATCTCTTCAGGGCAAAAGCTAGTATTAATAAAATAATATAGATACATACTTGAATTGTTATTTATCGCATCGTCGTATAAATATATCTGTTTTTCTCAAGTGCCTACCTATGTATTAATTTCACGTCACTCAAACGAAACATTTCTCTTTACAGATTGACCCCAAAGTGGCCTTCCCCAGGAGAGCACACCCGAAGGTAAGCGAATGATATCTTTGCGGTCAAACATAAACTGAACAGAAGACTTGCTTTATAAGCTCATGGCGATTAAATTTTCACCATTCGTCCCTAACAAACTTACGACACATCCAGCGAGAAATATCTTGGTTAAACACGGCTTGTTTATTTTCAAACATTTACGCAAAATATTATTTTAGGCTGGACATAACTCTCGCTCGCTATTAAGATGTTGGCTCATGATGCATAAATAAGTGAGGGATAATAATTTAGTATGCGGGCTGTGATCTTGAGACCGTCTGTACTGGGTCTCGGCCGCTGCTCTTGATTGAATCCTGTAATTACGAATTTAGCCTATTTCCTCCACCTCTAATATTTTATTACGTTTCGAGTTACGTAATCCATGAATAAAATTTAATAAGCCGTTTGTAAAGACAATAAATTCAGGGTTAAATATCACGTATTCAAATCCTGGGAAAAAATAATCGATCGTGCAAGGCATAGAAGTCCGACTCCTTAAATGAAGCGATCGATGAAACATAGGGACATACATATGTATCGACCCTCGACGTTAGGAAAACGGGATTATAATATTATTGGTATCAAAATCTTAAAATATGATTACCGAAATAGATGTTGGCTTAGCTAGATTGTATGTATAGCTTTTGAACTTTTAGGTAAAACTACCTTATTAATATGTTAAAACACCTTTTAACGTTGTAGAAAATTTATTAAATATGTTTTTTAAGTTGTTTTAGTTACAACTATCAATTCTATTGAAAAATATTGATAATTTTATATCTTAAAATGTAATTATTACAACTATTATTTCAAAACATTTATGTTAAATACAACATTTATTGTTAGATACCTAGTACTGATTTTATCTCCTTTGAATAAAAGTGTAATATCATACAAAGTAAGACTGCACAATAGTCATATATAATTTTTATTTATGAAATTATTATTACATTACTTTTACGCCTCAAACAAACTTCCTTAGTTGAATGCACAATTTCCGCTCCAGACAATTCTATCTGACGAATTTCCTAGATAATGGGACTACTAGGGGACGCGCTGTGAATGAAATGAATTTTCCTACCTACATGGGGAGTCATTGTTTTAAGGACCACTTCTACTTTCTGTAAACTAGGTAGAAGTTTCATTTCACATAGTAAAAATTGTGTTCTTTAATTAAATTTAATTATAAATAATAAATTTAATTAAAAATTACACATTTTAAAATTAATACGTGTCACTTTTAAAAGGCAACTAGTTATAATTATAACAAACTGTTTAATACGTTTTTGAAGAGAAAGGTTATTTTAATGATAGAGCAGGGCAGACAAGCACGGATTTCATATGTCAAATTATTTTATCCACTGACTGAAACCGAAATGGCATTAGACTTTATATATTTCGTCTGTAAACGTTTCCTACCACATATATAATTTCCAGACAAAGTCTATTGTCCAGACCAAAGGCATTTGCAGAATTTTTTAAATCTATAAGATACATATAGGACTCGGTGGAGATCGAATCCACGGCCCTTGATTATAAGCAATATATTGTTATCATTAGATCAACGAGGCCGTCGTTCTGTCATCTAATTTTTAACTTAATTGTAATAATCAATAAAAAAAAAACATTTTAAGTTATAAATACAATAATTAATAAAACCATAACTTAGGATTATAATTATAAGTGATAAGGGGGGTTTAATTCGCTATTATCGTAAAAGATTCAGGTGGTTTTAAAGCTTACTAACCATTTTGTGATAAGTAAATATCTGCGAAATCCCAAACTTCTGCGTGCGTGGATTTTGCGTGCCAATAAATTATTGTTAAGACTTCCAAAACCTAACGATTCGATGTTTTTTGTCAGTTGTAAATAAGACTGCTATAATAATTCACTAAAGCTTCTATAATTCATTTAACTACGGTGTTTCATTTTAATAGTTACATATATTGTAAAATCTGTGTATAAAAAGGGCCCTAAAATGTTTTGAATTTATTTACTCGGTAATAAATTGAACTAGGTGTATCAATTTCTGGTTAGAATGGTTGAATTGTCATGAATTTTCAATACTTTGCTATGCACATTATATTTTGATTGACTTAATAGATTTTGAACGGTCCAATTTTTATAACAATTGACATTAGTTTAATTACAACATATTGTGTGTCACACGCTAGTTTCGTTAAATATTAAGTTCTACTGTATTTAACTTACTTTTAAAGGTAAAGTAAAGTGTTAACTGGCTTCCCCCTCTCGTTGAGTACTGTTTATCTGTAATAGAACTAGATGGAGACACTATTCTATGTCTGATTTTGATACTATTAACAAACCCTGAATCCATCCAGAAATTTAAGCCTTGACCAAAACTACGTTCCCTCAAAACCTCTAATGCTTAATGCAGTGCTACAGATTAACAAATTCGGTACCAAAACGATCAAAATTTGCTTTTAATGACCAGCAAGAATTTATTACGAAAACAGCGCGGCCTTTTAGATTACGGTATAATACGAAAAACAAATAATAGGTCCACGTATTAGAACGTTAGCGAATATTAACAAAACCGCAGAGAGAGTCGGCACGCTAGCTCCTTCTTTTATATGGACATTAAACGTGATGGATGGTTTTAAAACATCACGTTATATTACTCTATCCGGGCAGCCCGTGCGGTGTTGCGTGGCCGGTCAAAGGGGATGCCCGGCTATGCGAATTACATGAATACATTAAAGGAGTACCGGCTTATACATATTAGGTCCACTATAATGCTCACGAATAAATTTAGAATGTGCTCCTTCATCGAGCTGTTCTGATCTATCTATCTATTTGAATTTATTTTACTCTTTATAGCAACACAAATATAATTGTCAAGTATACAAATTTAAATAAAACACTTTACCGGTTTAAAACGCAATATATTAGTTAAACTTATTTGAAAATGATTCTTAACGTTGACCCGACGTTTCGGATGCTTTGCAGCAGCCGTGGTCACGGGGCCGAAGGTAAAAATCATTTTCAAATGAGTTTATCTAATATATTGCGTTTTAAACCGTTAAAGTGTGTTATTCCAATGTGTACTACTCTCGTAAACTATAGACAGTATTTAAGTATACAAATGTTACCTTAACAATAGTCTTAATAATACAACTATTATGAACATCATCTTATCTCTATAGAGCTATCTCTTCTAGGCAACCCTTTTTAGAAAATAAAATGATATACCTATATTTTGCGATACGATCACGTCATGCGAAGCTTAAGGATAATATAATAAGTTATATTGCATACACGATTACGAAAGACGTGTTAAGTTTGTAGAATGAACGTTAAAAAAAAAATTATACCGGAAATGCTACAAAATGTTTTTGTTGTTTCAATTATTGTGTTTCTTTGACACTGTCAATTATCATCCTATATTATCTGTTATTAATTTCAATAAAACCTTTAAAAGTATTTCATTCAAATGTCTAATATTCGTGTAAACTACAGACAATAGCTTCTATTAAGTTGGTTCTGATGAGTTTGACAATTGATAATAGATCCCTATTGTGCGGGACAGTATGTATCTGTGAAACATTTACCGAATAATTTATAGATAAAATATATAGTAAAAGTGATATTTTATTAATCAATTCATAAAATACATCGAAAAAGATTTTATTAAACGTTACCTTGTGCTTAAAACATTCTAAATACTTTTCCTATTAAAAACACAATTTTTATGTATGTATATTTATCGGTCAAGTGGGTTTTACTTATGAATTGTATTAAAGAAGTAGGTTTTATTTACTCTTTACAGAAAATATCACATAGTTAAAATGCGTGTCATTCTTTTTTACACAAGATATAATGCTTTCCTCTCAAATGTACGGCTTAGATCGTTAAGGATTGTACTCTATACCGTAATGTTTTACTTACTGGTCTGAATAATTTTGTAGGAATGGAAATTATAACTTTTTTGTAAGTGTAATTAGTCGCGATGATAAACGACGCGCAAAATGGGATGATTTTGTGCCCGCGTTGAAATTCAAATTCACGATTATCTTGCGCCGCCGCGTCTGTTTCCCTCCTAAGGCTGCAAACAATAGAAAAAGGAGTCTTCGGGCGCAAACTAGGAACAAAACAAACGAATTTTTAATATCGTCTTTATCGATAATTGAGACTCTTGCGAAAACCTCTCATTTTGAAAACTTTTAAGAGACTAAAGGAGGAAAATGGAAGCCGAAAGTAAAACTTTTTTCATCTTCTTTGTTTGACATTGACAGTAACCGGCTTTTTTTATTTTCACAGTAGATCTATTTAATTTAGAATCGGTTCAAGTGGAATTGCTTAACATCTGCCAGATGACTACCAAGTTTTAATTGTTTGAAGGGAATAAACCCAATTTCAGCATTGAATTGAAATTCACTGAATTTAGCAGTACAACATCGTTTTTTAGTATAATTTATATTTTTCGTTAAATATACGTTATTCTTACGGTGCACAAAGGACTGACGTGTCTGTTTCTCTTTAACTGATCTAAATAATTGGTTCTTATCACCCCCATATTTAAATTTAGAACGTTGTATTTGATAACAAGCTATGTTGTGCACTTTATTCTGTTTTGACACCTTTTTTCATATATTTTTTCATATTGGCACGACCCCACGAGACTTACATATAACTCGTGTCATCGAATTTAATTCAAGTTGTTTTTTCTGCGCCTGATGTCTGCAGCCAGTTAAATGGAGAGACATAGAATAAGAGAAGCACAGTAACATTTGTATTGGTAGATGTGTAGAGACGTAAGCGTGGAACAAAGGCTAATATGTCATCGTGGGCAAGTTAATTGACGCGGTTTCCGTAGCGACGCGGCGGAACGCAGACGTCAACGTTTCCTCCTGTTACATATTTATAATCCGTACACTAGTTCGAAATACATTCCGTAAAATACCGTTTTTAATATCAAGCAATCGATAAGCAAGCGGTCTTCTCTCTTACTCTCTTTCTCAATTTCTCTTTGAAGTAAGAACTAGTTAAAA